TTTTTTTTCTATTTTGTTTAAGTTTAACTTTATATTTTTGTTTCAAAATGTCCGTAAAACAAGTTCAGCATGTATTTAATACTCGTGTAATGTCAACATTTAGTAAATGTAGTTGCTTTTCTTAAAGTATGATGATCTAATGTTAGGATGCAGTTGAATTTTCCTACATTTGCTTGGTATACGTTTTTGGGGGAAAAAATAACATGCCCCTACTGTAATTCGACTTTTGATTAATAAAATCGAATGGTGAATGTTTTGACCTGCTCTTTTCTAAAATGTGTCAACATGACCATCCTCCTGAATATTACTTTGTGCTTTTGCATCTTAAGTTTGGCACCCTCCAGTGTTTGAATTTGGTCATTTATTCATTTCACAGTTCGTCATCTTTTTGCACCTCAGTCTGTTTGGTTTTTTTGAAAGCCGGTCAGAATCTAAAAGTAATTATAAGTGGAAATTTTTAAAATATTTGCTAATATGAGCTGAGGTGGGCAATATAAAATCGTATTGAAAAAATATTACATTAAAAATAAAAGTTGTTATTTAAGTAAAAACAGCTAAAATCAGGAAAAATGTAGGTATTATTGTAGGTGAGTGTTATAGCATTATTTAAGTTAAACTTTCACCCATACCAAAATGTAAGCATTAGCCTTCAATTAATTTGAACCCTAATTGTTTATTGATCATTTCTTTAAGACTTAAATTGCTATTTTTCTGGATGATTAAGTTAAATGGCTGATTTTTCTTTTTGTTTGTTTGCTGTTTTGTAACAATTCTAGAAAAAAAATTTATTTTTTTTTTTTGTTAAATGCCCAACGCAAGTACCCAGAGCCTAAACTGGCATCTTCAAATCATGTTTTTTTTAACCAATAAATTATTTATAAAGAAGAAAACTAAATGAAAGTATTGAAAGGAACTGCAGGATGTGAAAAGCCAGAACAATGACATATTTCATTTCTTTGTTTTTTTTCATAATTGTATAATTGTCAAATTAGCTGCTAATCACTGATTTGATTGTTTTATATCTGTTAAGCCATTTCAGGAGTTGTTATGGCTCCTTTGTCCACCCCCTGCAGCTCCCTGTGAGAAACAATATAAAAACGCCAATATGGAACTTTTCATTTATATTTGCTAACATCTGTTGCTATTTGTTGTTGTATGTAGGTCAGAAGGTTGGTTGCTATATGTAGCTAACAAAAAGGATTGCCTCATGTCAAAAATAAAAACAGCCTTTTTTTCTTTTTTAAAAAGAATCCATGTTTCCAATCCATATTTTCTCCCTCCACGCGTGTTCCATTTTGTCTACGATAAAAACCACAAAATGTAAATTTTTATTATTGTAGTGCTTTCATTTAATTTCTTTCATTTATTTATGGTTTTATTGTATTCATGCTTGTCAATACATAATAATAATATTTGCCTCTATAAATAGAGGGGAAGTATGAGATGACATATACATACTGTACTTGAGTCAAAAGCTTTAACCCTGAAATAGAACTTCACATCAGTTTTTGAGATTGACCTTTTTCATGGTGATGATGATGACATGATTATTCATGTTCAAAGCTGCTGCAACTGGCAATCATTACAAATGTGAATGGTTATGCTGACTTTGTGCATTCAGTCATTCAATTGCTGTTGTATCTGTCACCAAGAACATCACCGTACAGGCCAGCGAGACACCACGGATGATGAAAGATGCAATGTTCAAAGTACAAAATTACTCTTTAACTCTGGCAACATGGTGCATAAAGGTACCAAAGCACCATCACTAGAGAATACCGAGTTTCTCCAATGACCCTATGAATACCAGACAAATGTGGCAGACTATCTAAGACATCCCAGACAATAAAGCTGCTCCTCCACCCTGTGAGAACAATACAACCTTTCTAAATGAGCTCAACAAATATCTTGGGAGGTTCAAGGCACTCAGCAACACACCCGTAAAGAAAAATGTTCCAGTTGCTGATGAGCAATCTTGAAATAGCTGAAGTCCAGAAGACCTCGAAAGGAGTGAACATAAGTAGCAGGCCCTGAAGACATACCTGGTTAGATGTTTAAGGAATGCAGCAACCAGCACACCTTCAATATGTCACTGGATCACAATGTCCTACTGTCTTGTTTCAAGATTGCTGCCATCATTGCAGTACCCTGAAAATCACTTGTTTAAATGATTTCTGCCCTGTAGCACCCACCTTAAAGGCAGCTGGTAAAGGACCACACTGTTTTCATTACAGTTTGCTTACTACCCAAATCACTCTACAGAAGACGCCATCTTCTCTGTACTACATCTCAGCCAAGCAAATGTTGTTTGTGGACTTCATTTCATCGTTTAAGATCATCATTCAACAGCATGAACATGCTAAACTAGTTCCCATGGGCCTCAGCACCCTTATGTGTAAGACTTCCTCACCAAGAGACCTGACCAGACTGTAACTTCATCTCTTTGAGCACCAGCTCTCCTCAGGCCCGTGTCCTGAACCCCCTGCTAACCCATGATTGCTGTCCGAGATTCACATTGTAAAGTATGCTGACAACACAGTGGTAGCAGGCCTCATTCAAGATGACAACAACCAGGCCTACAGAGAGGAAGTGAACCAACTGAACCAGCACACACTACTTGGCTCTGAATGTCAAAAAAACCCAAAAGGGGACTATCTTTGACTTTAGGAGGAGCCAGTACAGTCACATGCTATTTCTCATCACCAACAACACAGTGGAAATGATGAGCAGCATCAAGTTTCTGTGGATACAGATAACAGACACCCTGTTCTGCTCTCTTGTAAAGAGATCTCAGCAGCGCCTGCACTTTTTCCCACCGGTTGAGGAGAGCTCACCTCCCCCCTCGCATGCTCACCACTTTATATAGAAGCTCTATAGAGAACTTACTGACTGCATGCATGTCTGTGTGGTCAGGAGCCTGCAGTGCCTTAGACTGGAAGTCCCTGCAGAGAGTGGTGAGGACACTGGAAAAGATCACTGGGACTCCACTTCCCCACATCCAGGATGTTGCGCAAGAGCGCTGCCTGACCAGAGCAAACAAAGTCACACGTGACCACTCCCACCCCCACCATACACTTCCTGCTGGCCTCTGGGAAGAGACTCGCAGGATACACAACAGAATAACTGGATTCTGCAGCTTCTTCAGCCAAACCACCAGGCTGCTCAACTTTCAGTAAGCTCCCCCACCACTGTCGTACACATGCACACACTCATACAGTTGTTCTCAAGACTATGTTCAACATATGTTTGCAAAATATACATCTAATGTGGATTATATTTTTACAGATTTTTATTTCTATCTTATTCATTATTTCCTGTTAAATGAATGTGTCACAATGACCCATGTCAGAATCACCTGCTGTGTGAATTCTAAGGTTAGTAACTTGTCAGGAATAAAGTGATTTCATGACTGATAAAGGCATAAAATGTGAACTTGATATCACTAAGGTCATTTCTAAAATAAACTACAATCTAACTAATAATAATCTATTAGGTAATAACAGGAAAGAAAAACGAACTTCTTCATTACTGTTTTTTAATAGAATATAA